AAAAATAATTACTCAAGTAAAGTACAGATAACCAAAAATTCTACTTAAGTAACAAAGTATTTGTACTTAGTTATTTTACAACTCAGGATTCTTCCTTCTGTTTTCCAGAGTGCCAGCTTGGACCTGAAGCCCCCCTCCCCGTACCACCACGCTCTCCTGGCCCGCGGGCCGCTCTTCTTCCCGCCGTACCGGCCGTCCGCGGCCGAGGACCTGAGCAGGGCGGCCAGGGTGGCCACCAGGGAGAGCACCTGTGCGCTGAAGACCTGGCTCAGCGAGCACCTGAAGAACCCGTACCCCACCAAGGGGGAGAAGATCATGCTGGCCATCATCACCAAGATGAGCCTGACCCAGGTCTCCACCTGGTTCGCCAACGCGCGGCGCCGCCTGAAGAAGGAGAACCGGCTCAGCTGGGCCTCCAGGCCCAAGTCGGACGAGGAGGATGAGGAGGGAGACAGTGATGAAGACAAGTGTCACCAGGAGGAGGAGCTTCAGAGTGAGCGTGCAGCTGCAGTGGAACAGGCTGGGAGCGTGTCGGACAGCTCTGCRCGTGCACAGGTGCGTTTGGAGACTCCACAGGTGCAGCAGAGCGCGGGTCAGGGGGTCCAGGAGGACCATGGACCCCGKGAGAAGGATTCTGATGTGACACCTTCAGCCCCGGAGAGTAAAAACACCGTCAGCCAGAAACCCAAGATCTGGTCCCTGGCAGAAACGGCCACCTCAGAGACCCCAAAGGGACCTGTGGAGCGGGGTCCTCTGCCCCACGGGACGCTGTGGGCAGACTGGGCCTCACGAGCCGGACTCCTTATTCCAGCTTATTCCAGCCATCAGGAACTAATCTGAGCTGATTTTCTGACAGAGACTTGGTGAAAACTTCAGCTGCACTTTAAACCTTCAGACCTCACAGACTTCCTGCAGCCTGGAAGGAAATGAGACCAAAAACCTGAGGAAGTCCTGGTGCATCTCAGTGACCCAGGTCCAAACTTATCAAACAGAAACAATCAGTAGGTCCTCTGGATGGTTCTTCTTTAGTGAAACGTTTCATCTCTCCTCCAAGAGACTTCTTCAGTCTGAGAGTTTCAGGTGAACTCAGCCTTATAAGCCCCGCCTCCACCTGGACAAACAGGTTAGTCACATGCAAAACAGGACCATCGTCTAACAATAGACTTGATTAAATCTATTGTTCATAGAGGTCAACGCTGTTATTGCAGATATGACTCCGCCCCCTTTGAGCAAACAGGTGTGAATCAGGGCCCCAGTGATACTAACACAAAGAGAGAGAGAGAGACAAAACAAGGAGACTTTGAGCCCCGCCTGCATTCACTACATACACATAACACGACACAGGTCAGGTGATGGGACACGACCCTCTATGAACAATAGAGCTAATCAAGCCTATTGTTAGACGATGGTCCTCTTTT